TAAAAGATGCTTGAGTTTCTGATCGACAATATCTTTGTGTTTTTGAAGTAAGGTCTTCCAACAATCCATTGGAATTCCCAAGGGTACCAATTGCGCCTCCTATATCAGCAGTCCTATTTTTATATTAATATGAACAGAATTTGTCCAAAGTCTTATACATGTACATGGAAAGAAGAAAACACTTGTTCTGGCCTTCAACTCTACATTTAGATATATCTATTGTCAATTAGCAATGTTTTTTTTTCGTTTTTATGTCGATACGATATATCCTGTTGAGCTTGTTATAAAAGATACCACAGAGTCTGAACATTTGTTTTATATCTGGAATCTAACAAACAAGTTTTATGATAAACATGATGACTTTAACTTTTCATTCGTCAACTTCCGTTATTTATGCAGCAATATACCTTCATCACCTGCACACGGAGTTTATTTGTCTCAGGTGACTCGATACGCAAGAGCATGCTCCATGTATGGCTATATATAAAACGAGGTAAATATTGACAAACAAGTTAATGAAACAAGAGTATTAGCAGTCTCGTCTAAATTCATTATTTCGTAAGTGCTACATATATGATCGAAACAATGACCTTGTCGGAAAGTACAATCTATCATTAAGTTAAATGCTGACTGATGTTTTTCATACAAATTGTTAGGCCATTATTTACACACTGAATTGTCGACGGATTTTCCGATATTTGTTTGGAGGTCTGTGTTTTCTCTGCTCCAATTTTGCATAGTTTTATGGACTTTTCAGCTTGAATTCTGTTTGTTATCTCCACATATTTCAAAAGGTAAAAACTGAGCACTAATTTTAAAGGACATACATGTAGTTTAAATGTTCGTTTCCTCATCATAATCCATCTACATGTTTTATACATATACATGTACATGCAATTTTCAGAAGAAGACGTAAATCGTAAATAAAAACTGTATCCGGAAGTTCATGTACAACATTTAAAAATTGATTAAAAATATCCAGATGATTTTCAAAGCACAAAGAGAATAATCTGTGACTAATCATTTTCAAAATTTTTTTAGCTATGTTTTGAAATATTTTGTTATTATTTAATTTGAAATTATGTTGTAAATTATAGTGTCTTTATAAAATGCTGATGTTATACAAAAATGCAATAACAAGTATATTATAAATGCAGCTAAAACATTTGCATGTTTAAGTGGATAACAATGTTTCCGGTGAAACGAACCAGATTTGAAATTCTACCAGGTTTTATTAAATACTCAGTACCTATTTTTTTTATTACATTTTTTTCTTAAATCAGCTATCAAAACACATGTATGGAAAAACATTTAATTGATGTTCTTAACTTCTTTTTAAGTTACTTTTGTATTCATCATTTTTAATGTACATGTATTTGAATTCACTATGACCATCAGTATATGATTAATAAACATGCACATGTAAATCACAAAAACTTCTTAAACGAAATCAAGACACCATAAAAATGTATAGAAATTTAGATGACCATAAGCCTACCTTTAACAACACTGCATTTTCCTTTTTGCTATGTAAATGTTTAAAAACTATAAATATTGCCTTAGTGATACACGATGGAACCTATTCTCTTTGAGAAATGGACGAAAGCTTCGCCGCTTCTCTAGAGAGATTAGATGGAACTTGACTTTGTCTGTCAGTCTGCCCCATGCATTTGGTTTTCCATGCACTCTGTTTTTTTCTAAATGCTTTCAGAACTGGTATGCGAATTAATCTTGATACGTTACAGATAAGTTTAAATTTCGTTCCACTTCAGTTTCAATTTTAAATTTCAATGTTTTCCTGCATTTTCTGAACACTTGCAAATGTTGAGCTGATCTTTGGTACATGAATTTATCTCGATGAAATATACTGCATTTTAAATCTGCTTCATAAATGAATTTTGAACGGAACTATGGCATTTTCGTTTTGTCTTGGGAACCAGATAACATTCGGTAGGAGGTGTGTATTGCTAATGCAATGTTCCCAGACTGCTTGTTCTGTTGAAAACAGTTTTGTGTTTAAATTTTGTTTAATTTGTTGTAGAATATAAAGAATGGGCCAAAGCTCAACAAAAAAGAAAGCGACTAAGTCAGAAGGCCAAGTCAATGAAAGAGTGGCTAAAGTATCAACTGGGACCACAGACGAGTCGTACACGAATAATTTGGCTACATTAAGGGAGGATTTTCATTCTTATAAATCAAATAATGCGCATCTGAAAATATCGCCATCGCCCCCAGCTAGAGAACTGGAGGAGGTTAAATCACCAGGGTATCCCTCCTGTACAACGTGGGAAGAGGGTCTTACAAGTGATGAAATAACACTAATACCAAATAAACAAGTAACAGGCACTGAAAATATTTCCTACATGGATTTTGAGGTATATCCACCGACTGTAAGGAAAGATACAAAGACTTGCTCGAATCCTTTGGTTCCTACAGTAGAAAACTATCGAAATGCATGTTTGAGGGTGAAAACTGTTGAGGACAATGATAATAATCCTCGCATGGATGTTTCAAACATACCATCCCATGAAAAAATTCAATATAACATGCTTTCAAGTAAAAATTCGAGATTTCAGATGAGGGATAAAAAATATGAAACTGAATTTTCTGCAAAATGTAGTCAAGGAAATCCTATCTTAGGTGTGCAGAATGATTGTACAATGCCTAGTTTAAGCTCCAAATATGTTAGAAATTCAGATTCTGGAGATGTGATGGGAGAAGATCACTATGTGGAAAACCAAGCAAAAATGAGTTTTAATTCACCTAAACCTTTATATGGTCAAAAATGTCTTAAGGAAGAAGGTTTAAGTAATTATAACTCTGTAGTTTCGGTAAGAAAAGACAAAAATGAGCTGAAAAATACTTCAGTTATCCAACATGGAGGCAAATACTCTATAGTTGCTTTAAATGACATTAAGGAAAATAAAAGCATAAAACCAGATGAAAATAGTACATCTTGCACATTATCTGACAATGCAACCAAAGAAGTTCCTCATTTTCCACAGTATGGTATGAAATGGGAACCGCGAACCCCTCCTACTTGGGAAATAAAATTAGAAAGTGACATGAAAGATATGAAACGAAGTGAAAACCTTGAGCCAGACAAAAACAGTGCCTCTGCTAATCCATTTGTAGTCTCACAGAATGCAGTGAAGCAAAATGAATTTGCAGTGGAAAGAATTGTACAACAAGCAGATATGAACTATTCAGAAGAATCAAACCAAACCAGTGATTTTTCTGGATATTACAAGAAGTCCAAAGAATTACCTGGTGGAAGTAGTAAAGCAGATAAAAGAAAAATCAAGTTTCGAGATGTAGAGGAAGAAGACATACAACCTATTGAAAACCAAACAAGAAAAAGATTTCAACAATCCAGAGAGAAAAGCCCCACATATCATTGCAGAGGAGTATATGCCGACGGATGTGGTTGGAAAAAAGTAGATCCAGAGTTTAAAAAATGGCAAGATTTCATAAAAGTTAAAAATATAGAACAAGAACCAGATTTAGTTCAAAATAGAAACGTCAGATCAGTAGAGGGAAATCTGAAAGAGTGTAATCCAACAAAACCTCAAGAACAGGGTGGCAGTACAGGTAAAACTAACGAGATCTCTGATTTTAAAACAGATCAATTGATCCAACGGATTGAAGAAACAAATGCTAAATCTTCAAGAGTAATTCAAAGTCACTTTGAACCAAAAGACAAGTCAACAAATGGAAGACAAAATGTAGCCAGTGTTAAACAAGATAAACACAAATTTAAACCCATGTCATTTCCCGTAGGAAGCGCCGTAACAAGTTCACATTCTACGAAAAAGGAGTCAAAAGACAGCAATAAATGTTCTGTACAAGGCAGTTTTAAGCATGATGAAAAAGTGGAGGTTGCTGTTGAAGAAAATAGAGACAAGAAATGCAAAAACACAGAAACAAAGGAAGAAGAAGACAAATATTTTAAAAAGACTGATGAAAAACCAGAAAAATCACTTACAAATGTGGTACAATCACTATGTAAATCGAGTTGTGATGGAAAAATTGATTCCAAAATAAAAGGAAACACTGGTATGGTAAAAATAACCACTCAAAAGTTACACAATATCATTCAGGATAAAGACATAAGTAAACCGAATGTTGATTCAGGAGAACGAATGGAAACAAAAGTCAAACAGCAAGGTGAAAAAAGTACATGCAAACCTATCAATTCTTGCAACACTGCAGCCCAAGATTGTGTATTTGAATACCAAACTGATCGGAACCCCAGTCGACAAAGCCATCATAAAGAGGAAAGAAATGAAAAATGTAAAACAAGAAAGGAAACCTTCGGTGAGCAAAAGGGACGTATTAAAGGAAATGAACACACAATACCGGTATCCGCAAGATCAAAGGATACTCCGGTCAAAGCAAAGGAGTCGAAACAGAAAAAGGTTTCTGTCGTTAAAATTGTCCAATGTTCAGATTCTTCTTTGTTGAAAGCAAAAGAACCAAGACTAAGCAAAGAAAGTATTACTACTTGCACAAAAATTAAAGAAGATAATTCCAAACAGATAGACGTCAGTGGAGAAGAATACAGAGGTAAAATAGTGCATAAAATCCTAAATCCACAAAATCTCCAAAAAGGGAATGTTCATGCAAATGTAGAAGTTACAAACAACCAACATTATAACAAGGAGGTGTCAAATATCAAAAGAAGTCAAGCTTCTACAGAAATGCAAATGCCATTGAAAAAAGCAGTCGTTGTTCAGCATGTCAGCAATAAAAGAATATCTAATACTGAAGAGAGAAAGGCTACTAAATCAAAACCGTCGACGTCAGAAAAAAGGAAATCGGCATTTCAAGATACCATTTCAAACGATGCCATCGATGAACAAAACATAAGTGTTTCCAATTTGGTAATAGAAGAATCTAGTCCACGAATAGACAAACCATTTACAACAGGTACAGAATCTGAAATGACGGTACAGAAGCCGTGTACAACTGTGAAAGAAGAGGTTAAAGATATCTTGGATTTTTCAGAGAAGATGTCAAAGCAGAGGGTGACTTCAAAGCAGAGCACCGAATCTTTGAATGATGCTGTTTTGATTAAAGAGTCAAAGAGAGACAATGTGATTAAATTTAATGAGAAGACTGAGGCAAATGAAAGAGTAAAAGAAGATAAAGAGAGACTTAGTACAACTGAAAACAAGGATCAATGCGGAAGAGTTAAGGAGAAAATGTACAGTTTAACACCAAGAGAAAAATTACCTGCACATCTTGCCCAAAGTGCTTTTGGTCAGAATTGCAATAAAGACACTTTAACTCGTGCCTTGATTATTTCTAAGACATTAGAAGATGAAAATGATTTGTGGTCACATCTCATTGGTATTGTTTCAGATGTTAGATTTCGTGTTACATCTTTTGACACCAATCCCGTAAACAGGACAACAACTGTTGTTTTTGATTTTAAAACCGATGCAGATGCCTCGTCATTTCAAAGATGCTTGGAACAAAATGATAAAGAGTTGGGTTTTGGGTACCAATTGAAAAAAGGAACTTCCGAAGAAAATAATCCAAATACAAAGTTAATGGGGAATAATAAAAAACTGCAAAACTTGAAAGAAAAGGCTGAGAAAATATTACAAAGACACCAAGGTAAACTTAAAGAGGTTGAAAAAGAAACACACATTTTAGATGAGGTCTGTTCAAAGAAGAAGAAAAAATTCATTGATATGTCACTTCATGAGCAAAGAGAAGCTCAACGAAAAGCGTTAAATGATAAAAACAGAGAGCTTATTCAACAACAGAGTGAATTTGAATTATGTTCATCAAATGTTATACAGAAAATAGAGTCTGCTAAACACAACACGTAACGCAGAAGGATACTGATTACTTACTGAAGAGATATGAAATTGAATGCACAAGACTAGAACAAGCATTGCCTATTTATGCAAGAAGAACCCAAATTGTCGACACGATTCTTGAAAACCAGGTATCTATCATTCTAGGAGAAACTGGATCCGGAAAAAGTACTCAAATAACTCAATACATATTGGAGTCAGAATTAAGTTCCCTTGGAAAAATCATTTGTACACAGCCACGAAAAGTAGCAGCGATTAGCCTTGCTGAAAGAGTTGCAATTGAACAGAAGACAAAAGTAGGTGACCTTGTGGGTTATCAAGCTGGAATGAAATCAAAGCTGAGTAATCAGTCTAAGGTATTGTACATGACTGACCACATGCTTTTGAATGAGTGTCTCAAAGATCCTTTGCTGGTGGAGTTTTCCTGTGTTGTGATTGATGAAGCTCACGAAAGAAGTGTTTATACTGACCTCCTGCTGGGAATGATCAAAAAGTGTTTACCACAACGACCAAAGCTTCGTGTTGTGGTCACTTCTGCAACAATAGATCCAGACGTATTTGTGCAATACTTTGGAGGATCCGATATTTGCCCGGTCTTAAGAGTTTCTGGAAGAATGTTTCCTGTTGATATTGAATGGTTAACTATGTCAACTGGTGCTGATGTGGCTGATAACTATGAAATTAAAGCTATCGAAAAAGCAGCAGAAATTCACAGAAAGAAACCACCTGGAGATATATTAGTGTTTTTAACATCCCAACTCGAAATTGAGCAGTGTGCGGAAAAAATAAATGTATTACTGAGAGGGCGGAAAGATCATTGGATTTTACCTTTACATGGTAAACTTCAAACTGAAGAACAGAATTTAGTATTTAGGGAATCACCAAAAGGAACACGAAAAATTGTGCTTGCTACAAATGTAGCCGAAACATCAGTGACAATACCTGGTGTAAAGTATGTAGTTGATACCGGGGCTGTTAAAGAATTATCGTATGATCCAAGGAAGAAAATAAGTGCATTGCGTGTTGTGAAAGTTACCAAAAGTTCTGCTGACCAGAGGAAAGGAAGGGCTGGAAGAACCGGACCTGGTAAATGTTATAGACTTTATTCAAAGGAAGATTACGACATAATGTACCCGACATCTATACCAGAAATTCTGAAGATACACTTAGGTCATGCAATTCTTAAGCTTTTGCAACTGGATGTTGATCCATTAGAATTTGACTTTGTACAAGCTCCAGAGAAAGTTTCTATGGAAAACGCTTTCCAGCACCTCAATAAACTTGGAGCCATTGAAAATGGGAAAATATCTCCTTTAGGAAGGTGGATTGCAAAACTTCCATTTGAACCAAGTTTAGGAGTTCTTGTACATGACGGCATAGATCGTAATGTTGGCTTAGAGGGAATCATTATAGCGGCCTCCTGCACAGTACCAGGGTCTTTGTTTTATCGAGGCGGGACAACGTCACAGAAAGAATTATCGGACAAGCTGAAAATCCAATTTTGTCATAAGTTTGGAGATCACTTTACCAATCTTAGTGTTTTCAAAGAATGGCACAAAGTTCCCGCAAGACAGAGAGGTAAATGGTGTAGAGATAATTCAATAAATGGAAAAGCTATGAGAAACATTGACGATGCTACAGAGGAACTTTTATATACTCTTAGGAGAGACCTGTCCATCAACATAAAATATAAATTTACAGATGCTGTAGATAGAGATAGAATTTTGCAGAAACTACTGTTTAAATCATTTCAATGCAATGTCTGCTTTTTTCTTGGACATGAAAAAGCTGGCTACTTCTTTATAGACAAAGGACAACAGGTGATTGTTCATCCATCGTCTGCCTTTCAGTCTCTTGCTTCTTACCCTAACTGGGTTATTGTCGAGAGGGTGATGCAAACTTCACGTGATTTTGCCCTAAATATCACAGCTGTAGCGGATGAAGATGTCGAAGAAGCACTGAATGATGGTTCTCTGGACTTTGATATTGATGCCGTGGAAAAGAGAAAGGTTACACAAGTTTTGACGGAGTATGTTGGTGTTCAAGTTCACAGAGAAATTGTTGGTCCAAGATATAGCAAAGTAAAAGCAATGCAAGAAAATCTAACGACAAAATGCAAGAACTCCGTGTTCGTGATTGATGCAAATCGTGATAAAGGAGAAATTTCAATTTTTGCGCCACTGGCTGACCAAGAAATTTCCTTTAAGACTCTGCAATTAGCAGTTGATCCTATCAGAGAAAAAGTAAGGAATGAAACGGTGGAACATCCTTTGGTTTCAGAGTTTCACGGAGTAAGGATCTCCATAGGAGCAGGAGGGCTAATCCATGACCTGTTATATCAGGATGAATACAAAAATGTGTTTATTTTCGGTAATGCAAATGCTTTCTATTCTGACGACGAAATGGTACATTGGTTTGAACGTTTTGGATCAATCCGAGCTTTCATACCTAAATCTCCAAACAACACTAATCCTAAATATCTTGGCCAGATCGTATATGATAAATCTGAATTCGCTAAAGCGGCAGTAATGGAAACACGTGGGAAAACATCAGAAATTTCTGCAAAACCACCGAAAGGGATTGGGAAATGTGAAGAAGCCGATCTACTTAAGGCAAGGCTGAGTTGGTGTAGAAGAAAGTCAAAAGGATTTGCTTTTGTTGAGATGCGTGACAAACACAAAATAGACGACGTCATAAGATCAAGATTGTTCAGCAACATGGTTGTTGCAGGGAAACGAGTAAAGATACAGCGAAGTAAAAATAATCCAAATAAAGAACTGCATGTAGCAGGCTTGGGTGAACTTGTTAATGAAGATGTTTTACACGAAAGTTTTCTGAATTCTTTTGACATTTCTGAAAATGACATTTTAAAAGTTGTTGTTATACGGGAAAAAGTCAATACAACACCAGAAATGTTGTACAGTCTGAAAACTAGATTAGAGAGTCAGTTTACACAGGAAACTAATATAAAGAAAAATAGATTCAATGTCACTGTCATTGAGCCCAAACCTGCTGCAATTACTTATGAGGCTTATGTTACATTTAAAGACCCAGAGGAAGGATTTGGAGCATGCTCAAGACTACACAATAGAATATCCATTGGAAATGATCCAGTAACTATCACGCCAGAAATACATACTCGAATCTTTGTTTTGGCGCCGGTCTTCAAACGAGTGGCAATAAATATTGAAAGATACTGTGAAGAAATACAGAATGAAGACGGTGGAAGGCAATTGACTGTAACTTTACTCAAAAATGGAAACTACATGATAGATATTGATGCAGATTGCATTGAAAGTATGGTAAACACAAGAAACAAAGTACAAAGAATGCTTCAAGGTGAGACAATTGACTTGGAAAACATGCCAGCACTTCGGTATCTGTTCACTTCCGACGGTCAAGAAAAGGTAGAAAAAGTAATGAGAAAGACAAACACATTAATCTTGTTTGATCACAGAAATACGTCTGTTTCTGTCCATGGTCAAAGTGAAGACCGAGGAATAGCTAAAGAGAAGATAAAAAAGTATGTTGAAAAAATGACTTCCTCCAAACTCCGTGTAATTGACTTGAAAGGGGAATCCAAACCACCAGGTTTAATGAAGACAGTTGTATTAATGCATAGTGTAGACCTTAGTGGCCTGAAGAAAGAGTGCGGTTTGTCAACGGTGGAACTTGATCACAGGAGTCATCGAATTAAAATGTTAGGTCGAGATGAAGCGGTTGAGAAAGCTGTCCAATGCATTGAAGAGCTTACTGATTGTTTGAGAAAAAAATGCTCAGTTGTAGGTACTGAGCAACCGAATTGTGGCGTATGTTTTACCGAAATAGCGGACAGCGAAATATACCGACTGGAATCCTGTGGCCATCCGTACTGTAGAGATTGTATAAAATTCCACATAGAATCTTCTATCAAAAACAAACAATTCCCACTCAAATGTTGTCACATTGATTGTGATATGCTTTGGGCATGGAAGGATTTTGTGAACATGACAAAACATGGATTCTGTCGTCTTCAAAGTATCCTGCATTCGTCTGTGTCCAGTTTTGTTGCAGAAAACAAGGACAAAGTTCGATATTGCATAACTCCAGATTGCCCAATGGTATACAAAGTCAGCAAAGAAGGGAGGAGAATTGTATGCAGTGTTTGTAGAACTGGTATGTGCAACAAATGCCACATTGAGTACCACAATGGAGTATCATGTGCCATGTACCAGATGGAAAATGGAAATGATGAAACGGGACTTAAAGAATGGATGCGCCGGGACCCTCAAAACAGGAAATTGTGCCCGAACTGTTTTGCTGGAATAGAGAAAAATGGCGGTTGTCAGCGCATTGAATGTCGCGATTGCAAGAGCCACATTTGCTGGATATGCATGGAGTTTTTCAAGACTAGCCGCGAGTGTTATGGACATCTGTATAAAAAGCATGGTACTCTTGTTTAGAGTTGAAACACTAACATTCACAATTTTTGAACGTTTTTCTCTGTCATAACGATATCGAATAATTTTTAAGGAAAAAATGAAATGGTAAAGATTTAAATTATTCTGTAGCAAAAAATGCATTTTTTTTTCAAACTGCGTGTTTTTTAAATGAAGTATCTTGTATTTATAAACTTCATCTTTAAAGATATAAAATTATGATCTTTGCATATAAAAAGAATAAGGAAAAGAAATGTTACTTGATTTGTATATCTTGTTCTTTTTATAATTACTAATGTTGTTGATTATAATTGAATTGTTTTTAATTATATGTTAATAATATAATGATATTTTTGGGAATAATTTTTTATTATCGTTTTTTTAACAGACAATGCGAATAGTGTTACCATCATATGCACTAAGAGCATGGAAAAACTGTTATAGTTAAAAGTTAAAGCTGACATGAATTCTTAAAAACGCAACATGTTCATCTATGTACGACTTGTTTCATACCAACTTTAGCCGTATTCCGCCATATTTCTTTCAGAGACCTTGTATCATTGTAACGATATATACCCAAATGCGCTCGTTACACTTGAATGATTTTTTGGTTTGGGTATCGACTTGTGCACATCTCCGATGGTAACCGTAAAGCATATGAGAACACATGAGGACATCAAGACATTTCAAAACCACAATAAACAACACAATAATCATATTTCTGAATAATTATTGATTTGAATCAAAATTATGCAAGTTTGGTGAGAAATTTAGATGCACGAGTACGTATTTTTACAGTGCGCCAATTTATGCAGAATAAACTTGAAATAAAAAGCAGTAAAATCTGCAAACACAATTTGAAATTATATCATTTGAATGGAACAAAACAACCAACGTCTTTGATTTGCAGCCCCTATGCAATCGATGCATATCGAGAAAACGCCTCGAACGCTGTAAACGTACCCATACCTGGTAATAAGGTTACTGCATCGGTTCGAAGATGTGCACAAGTCAAGTGATATACACCCTGAATTCCATTTATTGAAATATGCATCACAAAAAAGAAATAAACTCCACAAAAGCTCAATAGTAAACACACTGTCATTACTCCGCACAGACTAGCACGTCGATACACTTAGTCCGTGCATGCTGATCAGATTTTGGTCGGGGAAAATATCACAAGTGGAAAGAGAAATTATTTGGTATTTGCGCGGCTGAAAGGGGGGGGTTAATTGTGCTATAATTGTGAATTGTCTATCTACATGTAGTTCTAATATTCATTCTATACAAAGTCATGAATATACTAGTAGTCTGCAGTTGGTTTGCGTCGCAAAATTAATTTGTCAATTATAACTGATTATTTTAGTAGTAATCTCAAATCTAAACCAGGTAATTTGATGTACGGTAATTATTTACTTCAAATCTTAAAAGCAGTTAACCAGAATACTATTTTTTTATGTGTACATAGATCTATACGTTCTTTAACACACAAACACACGAAGAAATGCCATCTCCTGTTCAGATTGACATTTAGGCATTTGATTTTTTAGGCGGGGGGGGGGGGGGAGGGGGGGTGCAAAAATAATTGACATGACCGTTATCTAAATATTCTTGGAAGACAGACATCTCTGCCGAATTCAATTTTGAAATTTTTTTTTTAAATGTGTCACTCCGACCACAAAGTATGTGCATTTTGAGGAATGTATAAATGTTTTATAATTATGTTGTTTTAGAGAGTCTTTCGATATTTCAGTATCCCTGCCTGATAGTCTAGCTATTTTTTTTTATATAAAAATAATTTCTGTAGCAGTATTTGGGAGATAATTTTAAAAGCTAGGGTAGGGATTCTTGACACTGGTTGAATACGGATAATTTTTATTTACTCTCTTGTATACTGAACTCTCTCTCTCTCTCTCTCTCTGTAATCATCCCTTAGGGCAATAATAGGTATAAGATCCTACGCACTTTGTGCTGTACCATTATTAAGCCTTAGGACAGATCAAGGATTTTTTTTTCAGGCGGGATGTCAAAACTTCATAAATTGAATAATAATTTTAATTTGGACAAGAAGTTAATCCAAACGGCCAAATTGAAAGATAAACTAGAGGTATTGTGAGCAATGAGCTCACTAAATGATATCCCCGCCTCCCATATGGTTATAATGGCAAAGTCCATATTTTGCTGTTGTCGCTAAACCCAAAATACGTGTCGGATCAAAAAGTAAAAAAGGAGGTGCACAATGGTAATATGTAATAAACCTAAGATTCTGTGAAAGTTTTATTAAATTTCACTTAGTGGTATAAGAGGATTTGCGAATAAGAGATGGGTACCCCAAAGCGTAACAGACCGACGGACGGACATAACTATTACTATATACCCTTCCACTTTTCAAGCGGGGGATATAATAAACGTGAAACATACATCACAGGAATGGGTACAATGGGAACTTTTTCAAATACCTTCTCAAACGCATTGGCCTCGGAAGCAAATTGAAAGTGGGGGTGGGGGCTAAGTGCAAAGAATATTTTTTATACATTCAAAAAATCTGACAAACTTAAGAAAAAGGGGGAAATGTCCTTTTCCAAAACACGAATATCTTATTTCGTGTGGGGGAAAGGGGGGGGGAGGTAGGTTCGAACTTCAGAAACAAAATTTTTCTCCAAACACCAACACTTTCCTCTTTTTTAATCTATACTGCGACTTGTCTGTGGAAAGTGGGGGGGGGGGGGGCTAAACCTACGCAGCAATGTTCAATGTCTATACTAAGTATATATTTGTAAAAAAAGCCACCCCCGGTTCCGACACCTATATTCAAACGTACGAGTCGAACCTGGACCTGGACAACAGACAAGAGAATTTTTAAAAAGCTAATTGTAGGTAAAATGTGGAATTCTCACGGGGGTTTGCTCTCTCTTTCTATCTGCTTTTTCTAGTAATCATTAATTTTTTATGCCTAGAAATTTAATTCACATTAAATTCTATTTTCATTATCATTGTACCACAGAATCAAACTCGTTTATTATACCCCTCGCAACAAGTTGCGTGAGATATAATGTTTTGGACCCATCAGTCAGTCCCTTTTTTTTTTTGGTCAGCGCAACTTCTTATAAACCACTGCACAGAGATTTGTCGATCTTTCGAGATATTTATAGGAGTCAATGTGTGTCTAGATTTGCACATCACCAGGAAATTCCGAATTCTTTATTTTTTCGGGAATTTCCGCACTTTTACATCTAGATTTTGGCCATGTCTTCAATATAAAGATGAGCAGTTTTTTCTCAGCGCAATTCCTCATAAACCGCTGCACACAATTTCTTCAAACTTAGCAGATATTTAGAAAACAATGTGCATAGATGTGCATATAACAAGGAAATTACGATTCCTTTATTTTTTTCTGGGAATTTCAGCACTTCGACTTTGGGGGGAGCGTGGGGTATGTTTTCATTCATTGTGCATAAAATTATAAATAACTTTAAATCAAATTATATTAGGTCTAATAAAGCCAATACACAGTATTTATTTGATAATAATTGATCATAAAGAAATCAATCTGTTTCAGACGTTTTTCTTAAATTATTTTTATGAGAGTGTTAATATGCATGTTTTATTACACCCCCCCCCCTATCACAGGAAAATATCTTCAAAAGGTAAATGATTCGTAATAACGCATGCTTTATTATAAATTTAATGAAGTTAAACCATGTAATCATAAATTCTATTTGCAACATTTACAGACAAGAGTAATGTTTAGTTTTGAAAAAAATTACTTGCATTTTTTTCAATCAACCCCACTGAGCTTTCAACCTTTGATATTTTCCCTGACCAAATAAAATGATCGGCATGGGCCACGTGTGTCCAAGCATCTTTTACTGTTGAGTTAGCAATGGATTACATGACTTCTGAGATGCATTTTTCAATAAAAGTAAAGTAGGATAATTCTTTCGACATGTGCACATCCCTGTAACGATAGCAGTAAATTCAGGTAAATGTTTTATCACTGCATTTGACGCGTTTTCTCGACCTGTATGGATTTTTGCTGTACATGAATGTATTCCGTGTTAGTGTATTTTCTATATTGCAGCAAATACATTCAAAAATAATTTAATTCTCGGTTTAGTTCTATTTTTTTTGTTGAATTCATGTATTTGGTCAGTTTATTCAGTTTATGGACTTCTAAAAACTATGCTATCGGAGATGTGAACATGTCAACAGCCAGGCTAGAAAATCACTCAGGTGAAACAATTCTACAAGGCTATATATAGCAGGTACGGGTGGCCAAAAATCTTCGACAAAATATGGCGGAATCGAAGAAATATGGCGGACAAGGGCGTACAGGAATGTAGTAAATCGTACAAAGATGAAAACTAATGCCTTTTTAAGAGTTCATGTCAGCTTTAAAGATAATTTGTTGTCCGACGAAAATAAATATTACAAATTATACATGTAACTTTATTCTAATTGTACGTTTCTATCTATTAACAAGAGAAATGTTTGCTATGTACATTGTACGTAATGAATACTGTATCTAGTATATTTCATAATTAAATTTGAATCAACGTTCATAACATTTATTTATTTTAAGGGCTTGTAGCCTGGTACCTGAGGCCTTCCGAAGTGCAAGCACGAAGGCCATTAGCCTGGTTTCCTGTCCCTATGCTTCAACTAAATTGTCATGCAAATCCTAAAAAAATTGGTTGTAGTGGAAACTAAATTTGTTCAAGAAAGTGTACCCGAAATACCAGTTGCATTTGTCATAGAATTAAGGTAGGACAAAACACCCGAGAATTCTATTTTAACCCATTTCTTAAAAATTACTGGAGGAAAAAAGAATAATATTACTATATTGACAACAATGAATGATCCCTGAAAGAAAAATAATAAGTTTTGGCATATTTGCGTTATATTTTGTGAAAAAATCAGAGAATCCTATATATTGGTCACTTGGGAGCTTACATTTTGGAATGTGTTTACGCTATCTAAGTGCAATAAACAAACATGTAACAGTCTGTTATAAAATGCAATGCAACTTTTGTTCCATAAATAGTAGAGGGGAGATATTTGGACACATATATAAGGAGTCTCTATTCTTCATGTACTACAAATGTCAAGGTCATATCACGAGGTCAAAGGTCAAATATTGTGACGTCATCTTCTGAATCTTTCATTTTTTTTGCCATTGAATTTTTTTTAATCGCCAAAATATCTTAAACCACCGGTTCAATTTTCTTTATTTTTACACATTTTATTCTAGGACCCGTTTGAATCATTCTGTTGATTTTTTGTAAAAATTGAATTATACATTTTCTCTTAAGAAAACATAAACTGTCGGATATTTACATGTGAATTTTCAGTTTCTGATACAATGTATGTTCTATTTTACTTAATATTTTACCCAAATTTTCCAGTATCAATGTGACTTACTGATTTAAAGTAACAAAAAGGTTATCTTTATTGAAAGTATTACACAAATTTGCAATAGATCAATTGAAAATTCTAAAATAAGGCTCATTCTCAAGTCGAATGTCTGATTTTGCAATCTTCTTACAGGGGTCTGATAGGCCATATTTCAGACTATGTGGGCAAAAAATGTGCGGTTGAATTTCTTTCATATCATGTATAAAGAGAGATTTTGTATCCAAGAACAAAATATCAAAGTTTCAGAAAAATTGAATTTGAGGAAAAATTTCACCTATCTATTTGGTCCTACCTTAAATAGCTTCTAGTAATGTCAGCACGCAGCATTGAACGGCATTTGTCAAAGACAGTTCTTTTTGTAATGCCATTTGCATTGAGAGACATTTTGTTGACAATGCTTCTGATGACGTCCGTGGTTTTTAGCATTTGCCGCCCAATGCTACTGACAAACCAGAAGTACTGTGGTTGAAATCCTGCTAAATGCCGCCGGTTTCCTAGAGGTACTGTACATGTGATGGACAAAATGTCGTTCAGTACATTTGAATATATCCATTTCTTCCCTTTATACCTAGAAGGTGACCAGTAACAAAAATTTTAAAAAATAAATTTCAATAAATTTTTTTAGCATGGCATCGCCTATATATAGATAAAAGTAAGGTATATTGTTAAAAAATCTGTAAAAAATTAACCACTACTGCATTCTACTACCATGAAGTAAACGGGGCTAGAACATAAGTTATTCAGCAGGTGAGTTTTGTGGACACGGACCTATTGGTGGCTGTAGATTCTTTTTTGATTCCATATAATAAATTCATATTAAAAATATGTTCAATGCAACATTATTATATTATCAAATTATAAATGGCCAGTATTTTATTCACGCTTTAGCCTTTTTAAAGTGTTGCATTAAAACTGTCATAGATCGGATTCAGAAATGTTTTGAAAAAACATGATATAAAAACTCACTTGTGAATCTTTTCCCTGCTAGTTAGACCTTAAACCTAAAGATCCATGATTGGTTTTTAAAAAAGAAAATTTATAGCTAAAACAAATCTTATTTAATTAAACTTGCAGTAATTTTTTTAAAAATCTTTAATTTTTGGAATGTTCACCGAGTTTATTTTCTTAACATTTGATGAAAACAATTATGTAATAGTGAATCGGAAAAGCGTTATCATTTTTATTTAAGATTACTACAGTTTTTAGCTTATAGATACTTATTTAATTCCAGTGTCATTTTGATATATGACTTTTCCGATCATTTTTTCAATATAAATGTCAGTGACGGATCCAGAAATCTTGAAAAGAAGGGGGGGTGACCAGTTTGGGATCAGGGTAGGGATCCACAGACAAACCAACAAACTATTTATCAAATCTTGTGTATTATTTTTTAACACAAAAGGGGACCCGGGCTCCCTGCCCCCTCTAAATCCGCCAGTGAATATTAATAAACTTTGAAACTTTTTTTCCCTAAAGCCCCCACATGGGGTATGTTAGTACAAATAGAACAAGTAAACATGTGAACAGTTAACATGATGAACAAGAAATACATCTTTTATAGCAAACCAAGATATTTTAAATCAAATATTGGTATACTCCCATATATTACATGTGTTACATTAATTAAAGTTTTGCAATTTAAAGTAATATACGCCGTATGGATGCCGATTTGTATGTGAAACAAAATGATTAAATGATTTGAAACACATAAAGTGTAATGAAAAAATAATATTTCCACAAAATTTAACTATAAAACTCGTTGTAATAACAGAACAATAAAGCAATATCTGCAATCAAGAATTCAGTCTTTTCATGAATATTGAAAAAGGAAGTGCGTAAACAGTAGGTCTAAATATAGACACGTATGTCCACGGGAAATTATAGACAACGAGGCACGTTGCATTTTGACAACGATTATTAATAAAAGGTTAATATGCGTCATAACAGAGTATAGATGGTTGATACTGATTACATTTAAAGATAAGTTATCAGGCGCGTAGCCAGCATGGAAATGAAGTGTACTCAGAAAACGGTCGGGGGTCTGGGGGCCGCCCTGAGGCCCCCAGTGGGTCCAGGGCAAAGGCCTGGTGGGGGCCCAGGGGGCGAAGCCCCCGGAAGCTCCTGGATTTTAAGAAAATTTTCAGTCATTTTCTCGTAAAAGAAATCACGATTATATCACTTTTCTCGAGCAAACACTTAGCTATAAGTTATACTGCTTCCATTGATACTTCGGGAAGAGAACGATAATTTATCAAATTAATTTACGCACATATAGGTATTAGAAAAAAGTTTCCAAGTGTATCAAGATAAAACAGAGTAGCAATTTCAATATCGTTATCATCAGTTGGAGTTTAGATATTACAAAATATAAACGGGGGTGTTGTTGTCTTTTGATTACCTTCATACATGTATTTGATAGCTGAAACGATTCGAGAATGCTTCAATTATAATATAATTCTTTAAATTGGTAACATCAGTAAAAGAAGCTATATTATTATTTATTTTGTTCGCCATAATTTAAATTGTTTAACGACATTTATTCATTACCTCTACGGACATTAAATATCTTGGATAGTCGTCCAAGACCTTTGTAACTTTTTCTTTCGATCAAAGTCCCTTAGATCGCTTTCCTTATCAAATATTTGTCTGGATAATCATGATTACGCGGATTAACAGTTGAACATTTTGGTTCAACAATTCTTTTCCCTCAAGAATGTTGAAGATGTTTTTGGAATTAATTTTATAAAGGACTAAATTTGAATGTGCAGACATGCTGAAAAAATAATTGAATCGAAACAATAAGACGCAAAATAATTTGAAACATGGGTAGTGCCTCTTTTCCCCGAATAAAATTCTCTTTCTTTTTTTCCTTCTTTTCTTTTATCCCTCTTTCTTTCTTTCTTTTTTGGAAAATGATGTGTACGCACTTGCGTACTTGCGTATAGGCAGCTACGCGCCTGGTTATATTAATAGTAACACGCCATCCATGTCAAAAGTGAGTTGTATCTCAAAGGGCTTACCTCGCTTTCTTGACGCCGTGTTTGTTTATCAATCTAAAAGCAGCGACGGCGTCACGTGGTGGATTTACTTAAAAATAGACATTATTCTCCTTGCAGGGTAATAAATAATTATAATTTGATAACTTTATAACGAATTTTATTTAAATGGTGTAATTTACAGCATTTTCGTAACTTTTATTGGTTAACAAAATATATAAATTTCCAGCCGTATTTTAAAATGGCGCACGTTATAGCGTATATTACTTTAAGAAATTCAAAATGTATATTAATTTCAATCGGGCGTGCTCTACTGATAAACGCGTATCCACGACAAAGTGAAAGTAAACTAGATTGAGAAAGTAATCAAAGTTCAGAAACAATTCAAACATCTTATACCATGTAGATGCAAAGAAATGGAACAGGATTTTTCAGATAGTAGTGCTACAAGCTCCTCTACACGATCACCATTATTATACCCTTCAGTTCGACGAAAGCGAAAAAGAAATTTAACCCCAAGCCCTCGAACACAATCTCCATCTTCTCGTGAAAGCGATGACAGTTACAGTTCTGCAGGAGTGAAATGTCCGAGGCATGATCATGTAGCAAACTGGGATATTCTTACATTAGAATCGTATGGACTCTTTTATGATGAAAAAGCAACAGAACTATCAGAGTTATACAACTCAGTCCTGAAAAATATGTACACGTATTCTGTGTTAGTAAACGATGCAACATTTTGGACGAAACTTCTTCAGATAAAGGGATTTCTGGTTGAATTAACGAAAAAGTGTTTACATAGTTTAGATGCTGATGAAGGGTTGGCTAAAATGGAACAATTGAGTTCGGGGGATGTTTTAGAAGAAACCAAAAAATGTGCACAATCAATAGCAAAAATCAAAGTGGAAATTGAATCAGCATCATCTTTAGATGATCTTTCCTGGTATGGTTTTTATGTCAAGTCTTTGTTTCAAATTATAGGGGTCATAAGAGAATTAAAGCTAGGTATGGACCAGCTGCAGAACTGTAGCTCTCCAGAAATAAAATACTGACAGGCCCTAGACATCTATTAACTATTCTTGTTGTAGTTGATATCTGAGATATGAGATCAAACACAGAATAATTTCAACCCAAGGAAAAGTCATTAAAATCTTGCATTTCCTTCTGTATTTACTGAAACATAACAATGCTAAATGACTAGTGTTGCAAATCGGCCCAATTTTATTATCTGATTCAATTATCAAATTGTAGCTTACAATCCATTATATGATCAGTACATCTGTAATTTAAATAAGGACTAAAGGTTAATTATGAAATATTCAGATATCCTCACTCACCCTCAGAAATAAATTTGATATGTCAGTAAAAATCTGTGGGACCAGCTTCATTTTAATATGTTTAGTGAGGAAATTTGAGTGCTATTTGTAAGAAAAATAGAGGTCCAGGAATGTCCTTTTTAATGTTGAAAGACACACTATTTGTTAAAATACATATTTTAAAAAAATTATTGCTATAAATTTTAAAATTTTCTATCCATTGTCACTGACATGCTACATGTACTTTTAGCAACGATTTTTGATACTCTGCAGCTAGCGTTACAACACTAATTTTAAAAAAATTATTTTAATTTTTTAGGCATCTTTTCAGTCTTTGGCATGCAGGGATCTTGGAGTATGTTCAGTATTATTCTGACTTTATAAAAGAGTTGTTTTCTGAAAGAAGAATTGGAGTAAAAGGAGAATTCTGTCAGCTTTTGACTTTATTCAGCAAGATTTTCCTGATAAATGCTGTGTGAGTTTTTATTTTATGCTTGAAACAAATTCAAAAATTAATCAAACTTTGTTTAGATATATTTCTTGTATTGCTTCGTCTTCTTTTTTAAATGTCAATTCAAGAAAGAAACTCTAGGACAGCATGATGTTTTACTATTTTCAGTTCTATTGTTTTCATAATAATTTTAAAATAAAAACAAGAAAAGTTGTGTTTCCCCAAATATTTCATGGCAATCTTTATTATGAATCAGATATAATGAGAAAAAAATGAAATTCACCCCACTTATTTGAAGCACATTTAATTTATTTAAATATCAGCTGAATATTATTTCTTTATATCATAATTCTGAAAGAATTTTTTTTTTTAAATGAAGTTTGAGAGTTAACTTAAATTTTGCAGGAGAGGAGATGCTTCACAGACCGTACAAATGACACTTAATAGAACAGAAACAGCTAGTGTTCCTGATCTAAGATACAGCCTGCAGGGAGACTCAACAATGGAAAAAGCAGGAGCATCTCTTATTACAGTTTCTGTTGGAGAGGTTCGTATGGAAGTTCTAAGTGGTATATATTTTTGATAAAAATTTTGAATATTTGCTAGCTGTAAACAGTAACATTGTATATTCTATTTATTTTGTGAAAAAATGCTTCAGCTAAATCAAAGTCATCACTTTTAAAACATCTCTGTATGTTTATATGGAGCACATTTTGGAATATTCAGTTTGTAATAAAATTTTCTCTAATCTTAAGAAATTTCATGACCCTGTAGTAATTCAACCTTTTTGGTTTGCATTTTAATTCTGTTGTTATTACAAAATATAAAGTACACTGTAAATTAACTTTGTCATCACAGACTTTTCGTTTATCAAATTTATACAGTTTTAAGATTTTAGAAGTATAAGCACATTCAAAATATATGATTTCAGGTAAAGATATGGTCACATGCACATGCTGGACACACTGCGACTGATTTCAATATCAGAGACTTGATGTTAACAGGTCAATCTGTAGAGACACTGCTGGGACGACATGGGGGAGAGCTTCTTCTGGAAACCAAGAAATCTGTCATAGGAACTACATGTTTAGGAATAATTTGTGTGAAGACCATGGTTAGTATTTCTATTTTATTTTATTACTGTAAAGATTCTGTGTCCTTTTCTGATCATAATTAGTGAGTTGTCAGTCAATCTTTTTGGATGACTGACTCAGTGTTTTCCCTAAGAACCGGTGACCGGCAAAATTGACTGCTTCAACTGACAAAAATGTCGCTTTGAAATAAAAAATTTGTTTTAAGGTCCACAAAGATGCTGTTCATAAACCTATGCCGCTAGCCTGTTGCAACTGATCTCTATAATCTTTTACTTTGAAATAAAGGGGAAAAACTAGTCATGTACACGTAGAATACTCATTGGAATACTAAGGGACATTATAAGAGTAGAAGGGGTCTTGGTGTTTCTCTCAAATTTGGGTCTTTTGTAGGAGTAGTTTTGTATTTATTTATGTGCATATAGTAATAAACCTACAAAGTATAAATCAAACACACTCTCACAACACAATACACACATAAGACGAATACTTTACATTTAAGAACAGACATTAACAAAACATAAATTATATGATTGTTTGCTGTCGGAATTAATTAATAAAATAAAAAATACGTTTACATAATGATTATAATAAAGGAAATTGGAATCCAGTTAAATATTAAACCAAGTAAATCTTTGACATAATATAATGTAAATCTGTCTTCTACCATAAAGGCAAAAATCGTGGGGGTCAAGAATTTGGCGGGTACAGTGCTTATATACTGAGCGCAGATATTAAAACATGCATATTAATTAGATAAAAACGGTCAGTTATTGGTCAGCAGTAAGGTCACATTAGGTCACCTAACCGGAAGCACGTGTAAATACAAGAATAACCAATGTCACATGACCTCTCAAAACATTCACACCAGACACACAACACAAACAAACGCAGCGAACGTGTTTAATTGGCAATAATTAATGTGACATTTATTAATATACAGTAATCACAAAAAAAACTAAAATTAATGTAATTAATAACCAGCACAAAAGCAATGAACTGCTTATGATGGTAATTTATAAACATACTGAGCACATTATTTTTATTTATTGCAGATTATTTTCACACGTTTGGATATGGATAAAACACATCTTACACACTTGGTTGAAGGTTCAAAGGTGGAAGATCTGAGAAGTAGAATTCATTACTCAAAACCTTATAACTTTTTAGTGAAAAAGGATCGAGAAGAAATTTTGGATACCATGTTTCATTTTGGTTTGCTCTGCAGAGTTAGAAGTTCACGTGTACTTCAGGATTAGCAACAAACACATTTCGGTGTGTTATTAAATCTATAAACACAGCTCAAAAATTATGAATGAATGTGTTAAAAATGTTGATGTGAGATGTAAGAAATTTAATTACACATCATGTTGATGAAAAAGTTTTATTCTTAAATAATCTTTTGAACAGGTTGCTGTAAAATAGAGGGTTCATATGAGTGTTTTGTTATTGTGGTGTGATAACAGCAAAAACTTTTCTTAAGATGTACTTGTAAGCGAGAAAGCATGCTGTATGCACTTGTAAATATGAGTAAACATTTAAAAATAAAGCATATTAAAATGTATCTTCATGATTTTCAAAGTGATGCATTTTGCGGTATTGCAATGAATTGACCATTGTAACTTTGCTTTATTGCTCAAATTTATTGCCCAAAAGCTTTTCTGAATGAAATGTCTTTTGTATACTCTGTTGTCGTTGTTATCTCTAATTCTGTTAACATTTCAAAAAACATGGTACAGTGTGTCCTTTGGTAAAGGGAATATGGTTTGGTCTGTCCTTCATCATAGGTGGAAATAATCAAGAAAACAAACATAGGTAAATTAAAGATAATTTTAAAGTCTCTGAAGTCGCCAGTATGGCGCAGTGGTTACGTGTATAGCGTCCGCTCGATCTAGAGTCCCGGAGAAAGGAGTTGATCCTTACGTCGCGGGTTCGAATTCCACTGTGGGACGTGGAGACCGGTCCTTCGGATGAGACCGTATAAACCGAGGTCCTATATTGCAGTAGATGTTGGCGTGAAAAAGATCCCTCAGTGTTCAATGGTCGTAAGTGCCGAATATAGGACAAAATCACAGGCACCTGACATTACTTATTTTTCTTTTAATAAAAAAAATATACCCCTACCTAGTTTATTATCATATATAGGGGGTATATTTTTTATTTAAATATAAATTAGTAACGTCAGGTGCCTGTGGACAAACTTTGCAGCTCTCCATCGGCAAGTGGTGGCGTCTCCACATGAGTGAAAAATACTCGAAGGGGACGTCAAACAACATACAAACAAAATGAAATCTCTGAACTCTGGACCAGAAAAAAATTATGTGAACATTTTGACATGGACATTCGTGTAGAATTGGATTTTTAAAATGTTCTTCAGGGGAATCGTAGGATGAAAGATTCGGATATCACAGGTAAATGGAGAGAAAATTCTTTAGAACTCTCTATGCAAGTGAACAGCTAGTAGCATTAAAAGTTGTGTGAAAAGCTTTGTTATATGCATAATACAGCTTCTTTAAAAAAAAAAAAAAAACGGGAAGGGCGGAAGTCATTAACATCAAAATGTGACTGTGGTCATGTCCGGAGAACTACAATAATATACAGAAAAGTAAGCATTTAATTTTAGAGAATAGAACGTGTCTTTGTGTTACTCATAATCACTTTAATTTTGTTTATAAATACGTATATATATATATAGATTGCGAGTGCATTTGGGCGAATATCTGTCGAAGTTCCTGTAAACATATTTTACCAAAGAATTAATTTAACACAGGACAGGTACGAAATATTCAACTGCACAGTTCGTGAAGTTATAATAAACAGAATGATAAATAATCTACATGTAATTATAAGTCACGATTAACTGATGCATAAAAGCCCAGGATATCTTAGATACATGTACAGATGTAATTATGTTAACTTCAGCATGCGAGATATCTATATGTTGACATGCAACTTATTATATCTTGTACATGTATATTGACATAAATAATTTGCATGTTTAAATAAATGTCAATATAATTGTTACATCTTGAATGTATGATCTCGATCGGACCCTGGAAGTAAGTATACTTTGTCCAACTTAAAATTATATTCTCTGATCTAAGACTTGTGACTTGCATACTAACATAATATATTCTTGCATGTAGACATTTTTGTCTTATGTGTTGATATTTTTTTTTGCATGCTAACATAATTTATCTCCGAATATAGAGGGCAGAAAAATGATGCCAGCAAAGCTTAATGTCACGGTTTATAAAACTGATTTTTTTTTTGTTGGTCTCAAGTGATGGATCTCCTATTCTGAAAAAAAAGATAAATAACTTCGAGTGGCTGCCTATAGGTATATGTTTTTAAACATTTTAATATTTTAAAATAAAATTGATACAGGTAAATGACAACATGCAAGTGCGATTTTATTTATAACAGTCATAAGGATAGATGTTAAGTATTTTTGATCCGCGCCCAGCAATTTTCCGTGACGTTTCCCGCCAAATTTATGACTCGGAGTTCCTCGGATGACTCGTGCCTCTGGAGCGGAGCGGAGTCAGCCGAGGATTGCCGATTGAATTTGGCCGTTGGAAGAGAAACCGAAAGTACGCCATTTTCGTAGAATCGTAAATATATATTTCAGAAAACATGAAACATATTGTCTTCAAATGACAACTGCAGTTGTTCATAGACCAAGTGATGAAATAATTGATGTAAAAACAATGCCGATGGACGTAAACAGGTAAAATAGTAAATTTGTTCACAAGTTCGGGTCACAGGTATACTACCTGACTACTTGGGTCTTGTTTTTTAAATATGTATGTACCTTATTGATATGTTAATTGTTTTTTTTTACATAACAATAAGGTACATATACATATTTAATAAACCAAGACCCAAGTAACCGTGGTAAGAGTGGGTACGTTTTGGTAAAGGTTAAAAAGATTATGTCTTCATTCTTCAAAAGGCAAGTAAAAGATGGTGATTCAATGAAGACCACTATTTGAAAATTTGCTTCTGTAGTTTAAACAAGCACTCTGTTCATGTCAATACTAGTAGTGCTCTGAAACACTCGATCTCCATCTAGGTTGGTCATGATTTTCTCCCTTGTGAATGTTAAAATAATTAAAATGAGGTCAAACCCAATCTATTTCAAGAGGTAATCAAACCTGATTATGTTTTAAAAAAAAGTATCACACCAAAAATGTAGATTGTAAATTGAAAAATTAAATTGAGGAATTATATAGAATAGTATTTATATTTTGGTGAATTGTTTTAGCCTTAGTACTCTAATATAATCTAAATATAAATATAATTTTAAGCATCCTCAAATAGAGCAAATGATTATCTTATCTGCATAATAAATATTTTGTTATGTTTATCATTTGATAGAGATCTTAACTTTCTTCTCTTTACAGGGTTCGACACTAACATTTTTAGGCTTTGGTCCGGCCGGACTAGTGCTTCTTTACTTTTACTAGTCCGTGGGCAATTTTATTAGTCCGTCAAAAATAAAAATAAACAGAATTAATGTTGCAATGTACTTTTTTGAAATAAACAAAGCATGAAATGTTAATACCAAGAATTCGTTGAAATCGCACAATCAGGAACTACGATCATATTCCCGATCTCATTCGTTTTCTCTTTACATGATTACATGTAAACATCCGACATCTTTCTTTATTTATGTGACATACTAAATCATGATCACTAAAATGTTTAATTTCATACCGATGAGTCCTTAAATTAAGCTCCAAATTGACTCAGAATTAATTAACTTCCCGCCAAGAAGCTAGAAAGCTAAAAATAAATATGGGGTTTTCCAGAGAAAGTTGTCAAAGATTTGAACATCGGTAAATTCTTTTTTTCTTCCAAGAAAACTTTATTAGTCCGTTCGGACTGATTAGCTATAATTTTTATTAGTCCGAATGAAAATGTGTTAGACTGAGACTAACGGACTAACGTTAATGTCGAACCCTGCTTTAATGTATACCTAATTTATTTTCAGTTATGGTTGTACAAGGCAAACATTTGTTTGAATATTCCTTACTGAGTTCCTGTTTTCATCACCAGTCAATGTATTAAGTAAGTGTTATTTAAGAAATGAATTTAATTTTTGAAGTTTCATAGGTCATGAACTACGATGCTTCACGCCGGCAAATTTTCATGAAGCGCGTTAGCACTTCATGATAAATATGCCGTCATGAAGCGTTGTAGTTCATATACCTTATGAATCGTCAAAAATTAAATTCATTTCTTATATTACATTATTTTTCTGATGACTTGCTGTAAATTTTCGCCAGTCAACTGTCATTTTTAAAGCAAAACAGTCTGCACTGTATTTTTTGACGTCAAGTGCGGTATTATGATGTAATAATGGAGATATTCATGCTTATTGTGGTAAATATGTGATGTAGTTCATGAGAAAATGAACTGCATTTTATTTTGTAAAGAATCATAGGGGAAATCTTTTGGAAATGTAAATATTAATTTATTTTGATCTGAAACAAATTTCAGTAAATAGTTTTAATTCATTGAAAAAAGTACATGTATTGGAATGTTGCAAATCTATAAATTAAGCTTTGCAAATCATCCATACTGTTTTGGTCCAGTATCCCTGTATCAGTTGCAGAGTATTTCCCCACATAAACATGATTAAAAGTTCAAAATGAAAGGTTGATATTTTTGAAATTCAGTTTGTAATAAGACTGATTATATTGGCATGATTTTCAGACATTTTGTCTATAATATATTCCAAACATTATCATCCTTTGACATTAATTTTACTTACCCTGGTATATACTCTATGAGTACATGTCTGTAAAATAAATGTTGATGCAGTAGACATCATGTATTATAGATGTACTTTTTGTTGTTATATAAGAAGGTTAAGATCAGTTTATTGCAAGAAGTATATGTAGTTTAAAACATTTTTTCAAGAACAATAATAATAAAAACAAGAGGCCCAGGGGCCACAGCGCTCACCTGAGAACATTGGCTAGGAAAAGTCACATATCAGATCAGAACTGAAAGTTTACTGAAGTGGGGGGGGGGGGGGGGGTTGTAGGGGGTTATGATTTGAACAAACTAGAATCTACACTAGCTGAGGATAATTCCATATAAATATCACTAATCATGGCTTTGAAGTACTTGAAAAGAAGATTTACAAAGGTTACAATATATATTCCAATATAAACTTTGGTCGGCCATTTCGGCCCCACCCTACCCCCTGGGGTCATGATTTGAACAAACTTGAATCTACACTACCTAAGAATGATTTCACATGAGTTTCATCTTTTCTGGCCCAGTGGTTCTTGAGAAGAAGATTTTTAAAGATTTTTCCTAAATATTCCTATGTAAAACTTTGGTTGGCCATTTTGGCCCCATCCTAGCCCCGGGGGTCATAATTTGAACAAACTTAAATCTACACTACCTGAGGATGCTTCCACATGAGTTTTATCTTTCTTGCCCAGTGGTTCTTGAGAAGAAGATTTTTAAAGATTTTTCCTATTTATTCATATGTAAAACTTTGGTCGGCCATTTTGGCCCCACCCTAGCCCCAGAGGTCATGATTTGAACAAACTTGAATCTACACTAACTGAGGATGCTTCCACATGAGTTTCATCTCTCTAGGCCCAGTGGTTCTTGAGAAGAAGATTTTTTAAAAATGCCATTAATTTTTCACTAATTCATAATTATCTCCCCTTGGAAGTGGGTGTGGCCCTTTATTTTAACAAATTTGAATCCCCTTCACCTAAGGATACTTTGTGGCAAGTTTGGTTGAAATTGGCCCAGTGGTTCTTAAGAAGAAGATGAAAATGTGAAAAGTTTACGCCGACGACGACGACAACGACGACAGACAACGGACAAATTTTGATCAGAAAAGCTCACTTGAGCCTTCGGCTCAGGTGAGCTAAAAAGACAAATTATGATAATGTGATATTGATATACAAGAATTTTTTGAAGTGCTTCATTAATCATTGATTTACCATCTTGAAATAAAGTTTTTATGATACCAGAGGGTATAGATATTGACATTCAACAAATGACATTAAGCCCCTCTTTTGCTCCCTTTAAAGAAGGGAGGGCATGTTGCTTTGCTTCTGTCTGTCTCTCTGTTGGTACACCTGATGTCCACCATCAGGTTCTGTGAATTTTTTTTCTTGGTCATGTTAGAGGTTGTACCATACTGAAATGAAATTTTGTATTCAGACTTTTCATGAGAATGTCTAATTCAAGGTCTGGGATCAATTAAGCAATTTTTGACAGAGTTATGCCCCTTGGACTTTGAAATTTTCCAATTATTAGCAGTTTCCATTCATTTTCTTTGTAAAAGGTTGCACATACTGAAATGAAATTTGACATACTTATTATCATGAGAATATCCAGAACAGGTTTTGTTTTGGGTATGATGAAGCAATTTTTGACAGTTATTCCCCTTGGACTTGGAAATTTCAATTATTAACAGTTTCCATTCATTTTCTTTGCAGAGATTGCCCATACAGAAATGAAATGTGGTATACAAGGGGGGGGGGGGGGGGGCAAATGTGTATTACAAATATCTATTGTAAATTTTTATTTTCATTGCTCTTAAATATCACCGATTACTAGAATATTTGCTGTCAATGAGAAACCATTATGTCAACAGATAGTATTAGGATATGTTAAGGAAATAATTCGAATTTTAGAGATATTTTGTTCTGTCTATTAGGTAGTACTAATGAGAAACCGCACAACCGGTAGATATGACATTCATTTGATAAAATGAGATTTAGACAAAAGTACAAATTTTATTGATGACAAAAGGGTATGTGATGACATTTGGTCTTTTTATGCGCCCGGATCGATAGATCCCGGGCGTATATTGTTTTTGTCCTGTCTGTTTGTCTGTTTATCTGTTTGTCTGTTTGTCTGTTGTCAACTTTAACCTTGGCCATAACTTTTGAACAATAAAAGATAGAGACTTCATATTTGGTATGCATACTCCACTAATAAAGTCCTTTCAAATGACATCAAGGTCAATGACCTTGTGACCTTGACTGTGACCTATATGCTAAAAATAGCTTTTTCCACTGTTTGTCATAACTTTTGAACCATAGGAGATAGGGACTTCATATTTGGTATGCATACTCCACTAATAGAGTCCTTTCAAATGACATCAAGGTCAATGATCTTGTGACCTTGACTGTGACCTATATGCTAAAAATAGCTTTTTACACTTTTTGCCATAACTTTTGAACCATAGGAGATAGGGACTTCATATTTGGTATGCATACTCCACCGATTAAGTTCTTTCAAATGACACCATGGTCAATGACCTTGTGACCTTGACTGTGACCTATATGCTAAAAATAGCTTTTTCCACTGTTTGTCATAACTTTTGAACCATAGGAGATAGGGACTTCATATTTGGTATGCATACTCCACTAATAGAGTCCTTTCAAATGACATCAAGGTCAATGACCTTGTGACCTTGACTGTGACCTATATGCTAAAAATAGCTTTTTCCACTGTTTGTCATAACTTTTGAACCATAGGAGATAGGGACTTCATATTTGGTATGCATACTCCACCGATAAAGTCCTTTCAAACGACGGCAAGGTCAATGATCTTGTGACCTTGACTGTGACCTATATGCTAAAAATAGCTTTTTCCACTTTTTGCCATAACTTTTGAACCATAGGAGATAGGGACTTCATATTTAGTATGCATACTCCACTGATTAAGTTCTTTCGAATGACACTATGATCAATGACCTTGTGACCTTGACTGTGATCAATATGCTAAAAATAGATTTTTTGAACTTTGTTGCCGCCGGGCGCATAGTGTTTCACAAACACATCTTGTTTCACTTTAAGTTTATGGCATGACCAAAGAAATTTGAAATACCATTATTTGAAGCATTGTAATATAATTTTATTCAAATGTTTTAAAAGTCTAATAAAATTTTTCAGATGAATTTGTATCAGTTGACAATTTAATTATTGTAGAGTAAACAGAATGGGCCAAACTACAACAAAAGAAGAGGCAGCAAGACCAGTAGATCCAACAAAAAGAATTGGTACTGATGTGAGGATTCCTTCAGTAGAAAGAAGAAGCATGGATTCTTATAAATCAAGGAATGTGCATGGATTGCCCTCATCTCCTACATTAGCTGTGGAACACACATCAAGGTATTCAGACTCTTTACTTAGGGAAAGAAAGAGTACAAATGATAATAGTTTAATGGAGTCCAAAAGGCAAGCAACAGGAGCTACTGGAAATTGGGATGAAAAAGAAATTCTCAGAAAATCATATTATAGCCAAAAAGATGCCAGTGTATTACTTTCCTCTCGATACAGATCAGATTTTTTAAGGAGATCTGGTGAGGACACAGAGATAGTAAATAATTTTTATGAAAATTGTTCCAAGAAGTATGGAATACAGAAACCTGAACATTCTTCCTCCAAACTTCAAAGCATAGAAGATAAACTTAGAGAAAGCACTCCTTCTGGTGATAAAAGTACATTTCAATCTACAAAAGGAATGATTAGAACTTGGCAAAGAGATGGAACTGTTTTGAAAATATCTCCAACAGTTGAAGAGAGTAAAGATTGCTTATAATCCAAGTAATGTGTATAAATCATCAGCACAACACTCACCAAATCTGAAATACTCAACAGGGTATCCAGCCTACCCATTGAGGGAAAGAAGGAGATTAAGTGACAGACATTTTATCAAACCAAATGAGCAAACAACAGGAGCAATTGAAAAATTGGAAGAAAAGGAAATTCTGAGAAAATCTAATTGTAGCCAAAAAAATGCAGATGTATTTCTTTCTTCCAAGTATAGATCCGAACTGTCAGAGATACCTTGTAGAAACACAGAGAAAGTAGATAATTTGAATAAACCTTATAAGAAGTATGAAAAACAGTTATCTGAGCCTTCGTCCATCCAAAGCTCTGAAGATAAATGTAATAAATTTCCTTGTGACCAAACTACATTTCACACAAGGAAGCCTCGAGCTTTTTCAAATGTTATAGAAGGAAATACAGCTACAGAATCTGTGTCCCTTATGCAAGGTTTACATAGGAAAGACAATGGGATATATGAATCTACTGAAAAAAAAGAAAGATCCCAAAGTACTAGAATCAGTTCATTTCAAGATGATCTTAGATCAAATGGCAAAGTTGTAAGTTACAATGAAAAAGAGAGAAAAATTAATGGTTCATATGAAGAAAATGAAAAACAAGTACACATATTCCCAAATGAAAATGTTCATTTCAGATATTCAATGAAAGGTAGGCCTACAAATAAAGATGTTGAAGAAAAACAATCAGAGACTAAATACTGGAGTGAAGATGGTCAAAGAAACTGTGATGGTTGGAAAGATTTCCCAAAGGTTACAATAAAATGGATGGATGTAAAAGAGACAACTGAAAGCAAACTTGTAACAGAAGAAGGACACAAAACTGGGAATGAAGGAGCTTGTATTGCAATGGCAAGGAACAGTAAAACAAAAAAGGAAAGTAAGTGTTTACCTCAGTCTGACAAAAGAGAGGAAACAATGTCAAAGAAGAAAGAAAACCATCAAGGCTTTCTTTTCAAAGAAGTTAAAGAGCTGAAGGAAAGACTTACAACTGAGTCAAAAGATGAAAAAGGATATAGAGATCTGGGCAAAATGCTATCTATTGAGAAACTTGATGAGAAGAAAACATTATTAGAAATGAAGGAATCTCATGATGATCATATGAAAACATCAGACAAGAAGGACTTACCCCTTAGCAACTCAAGTGATGAAAGAAGATCTGACAGCAGAAACCATGTGGAATTTGTTGCACCTCTATTCATTGGTCAGCTACAAGAGATTAAAGAAAACAAACTTTCTCAAAGAGACACAATCATTCCAATGGTTTACAGGGTAGCAAGAGAAAAATCTTCAGAGGACAAAGAAGAAATGGACATATATAAAGGGAGGCAACAGTCATCCACCACAAAAGAAGCCAATTTAGAAAAAGTAGAAGATTTTGAATGTCAGGATATGCCAAAGGCGACTGGAATAGCTAAAAATACTTATGGTAAAAGACATGATGATATTACGTTAAAAGATGGGAATGCAAATAAAACTGTTGCTAATGAGAGTGAAAACAAAGAAAGTAAAGTTGAGCAACAAGAGAAGAAAAATTCATTCAAATACATTGAAAAAATGAGCAGCAAAGTAAGAGAAATTAAAAAAAGAAATTCTGATTTTGAAACAAACATGTCACCTATTGAGGTAGAAGAATCAAAACTGAAATTTAGACGGGCAATGCAGGAAAGTAGAAATGCTAACATAAAAGAGAAATGCAAAGAAAGCAAAACCAAAATTGCAAGTGCTCACAAACCAGAATGGATATTCCAACATGATATGGAAACAGATTTACATACCATCAGTTTGACTGAGAAACACCCTGTAGGAATGGATCAAAGTCCTGTCGTATTTAATGATGGCACTTTGACTGCAAGAGCTGCAACTAAGAATGAAAATTCATTCGAAAGATCTAATGATGTAGAGGAAGTAATGGATAATATTGACAAAGGGGATGCACCAGTTAGTGATGCAAGCAAAGAAAGAGCAGGGACTTCAACTTATAACTTTGAAGAAAGTAAGACAGTACTACATGCCAAAGATATAGAAGTAGCCCAAGATATCAGCAAACAAAATGAAACAAGAGGAGTTAAAGAGGTTATATCGCCTTACCCAGGAAAGGAACTAGAGAAAACCAAGCGGAATTGTCTCCTTGAAGGCGAAATTATCACATTGAAAGATACCAATTTCTCAAAGGAGTCAAATACTAAACAGAAATCTAAATGTGACAAGATTAGCAAGGTTAAAACACGAACGAGTTTGAACAAAGAGTTAAAAGGAAGAAAAACAGAAATGGGAGAACAAGTAGCTGAGGAAGGCTATAAGGAAGAAAAAAGAGAGAGTGGTAATCAAACAGATGGTAAATCTGTGGAAACAGTTGCTTGTAAGCAAAATTCTGACAAGGAAACAGTCAAATACATCTTCACCATTTTGAAACAATTAGAGGGTGAGAATGATTTGTTGTCTCATCTCGTTGGCATTGTGTCAGATGTTCAATTTCGAATTGATTCATTTGAAAATAATCCTAAAACGAAGATTACGACTGTTGTTTTGGTTTTCAAAAGCGATGTAAATGCCAAAAGCTTTGAAAGTTGCTTGAGAAGAAATAGTTTGCAGTTAAACTTTAGATACCACTTTAAAAAAGAAACTGTTCCCAAAGTAAAGCTAGTGGACATAAGCAAAAAGATGCAATATATCAAAGAAAAAACTGTTGAAGTATTAGGAAAACACCAGGATAAAGAAAGAAAAACACAGGGCCAAATATCCAGTTTATGCAAAGCACCATCAAAGAAAAAAGTAAAATTTACCAACTTTTCTCTTCACGAACAAAGAGAGGCCGAGAAAAAAGCTCTGAATGATAAAATCACAGAACTTGAGCAACAACAGAATGAGTTCAAATCATTCCTGTCTGGAACTATCCAAAAAATTGAGTGTCTAAAAGCTGGAAACATGCAACAAAAAGAATTAGATTCATTATTGAAACAGTTTGATGTGGAATGTACAAGACTAGAACAGGCATTGCCAATTTATGCAAAAAGAACTCAAATTATTGATACAATTCTTAATAATCAAGTTTCTGTTATTCTTGGAGAAACTGGCTCTGGCAAAAGTACACAAATAACGCAGTACATTTTGGAGTCTGAGCTAAGTTCACTTGGAAAAATCATCTGTACACAGCCACGTAAGGTAGCAGCAATGAGCCTGGCACAAAGAGTAGCATCTGAATTAAAGGTAAATGTAGGAGATCTTGTTGGTTATCAAACTGGTATGAAAGCAAAGCTGAACAAGCAAACAAAAGTATTATACATGACTGATCATATGCTTTTGAATGAGTGTCTAAAAGACCCACTACTGATGAATTTCTCCTGTATTGTGATTGATGAAGCTCATGAAAGGAGTGTATATACTGATCTTTTGCTTGGAATGATAAAAAAGTGTTTGCCACAGAGACCAGAACTTAGAGTGGTTATTACCTCTGCAACAATTGTTCCTGATGTTTTTGTGCAATATTTTGGAGGACCCGAATTCTGTCCAGTCCTTAAAGTTTCTGGAAGGATGTTTCCAGTTGAAATTGATTGGTTAATTCCTTCATCAGGTGCAGAAGTAGTTGATGATTATGAGATCAAAGCTATCGAGAAAGCGGCAGAAATTCACAGAAAGGAACCATCTGGGGACATTTTAGTTTTCCTAACATCCCAAGCAGAAATCGAACAGTGTGCAGAGAAACTGGATGTCTTGTTGAAGGGAAGAAAAGATCACTGGATTTTGCCTCTACATGGTAAGCTTCAAACAGAGGAGCAGAATTTAGTATTTAAGGATCCTCCTAAAGGGAAGAGAAAAATTGTGCTTGCCACCAATGTAGCTGAAACATCAGTAACAATACCTGGTGTAAAATATGTAGTTGATACCGGGGCTGTGAAAGAACTTTTGTATGATCCAAAGAAGAAAGTAAGTTCCTTGCGTGTTGTGAAAGTTACCAAAAGTTCTGCTGACCAGAGGAAAGGTAGAGCTGGAAGAACAGGCCCTGGTAAATGTTATCGACTTTATTCAAAGGAAGATTACGACATCATGTGCCCAACATCTGTGCCAGAAATTTTGAAAATACATTTGGGTCATGCAATTCTGAAGCTCTTGCAACTAAATGTTGATCCATTAGAATTTGACTTTGTGCAGGCTCCAGAGAAAGTGTCAATGACAAATGCTTTTCAACACCTGAATAAACTTGGAGCTATTGAAGATGGAAAAATATCTCCATTGGGAAAGTGGATTGCAAAACTTCCATTTGAACCAAGTTTAGGAGTTCTTACCCATGATGCAATTGACTCAAATGTTGGGTTAGAGGGAATTATCATCGCAGCGTCATGCACAGTTTCTGGATCCTTATTTTATCGCGGGGGTACAAAAGAAGAAAAGGAAAAGTCAGACAAACTTAAAGTTCCATTTTGCCACAGATATGGAGACCACTTTACAAACCTTGAGGTTTACAAAAAATGGCACAATGTTACAGAAAAGCAAAAGGGTAAATGGTGCAAAGACAATTCAATTAATGGAAAAGCAATGCGAAGTCATTCGAGATGCTGCAAATGAAATTTTATTCATATTGAAGAGAGATTTATCCATCAACATAAAATTTGAATTTACAGATGCTGAAGACGTGGAAAGAAAATTACAGAAACTGCTGTTCAGATCATTTCAGAGTAATCTTTGCCATTTTCTTGGACACGAAAAAGCTGGTTACTTCTTCATAGACAAGAATCAGCAGGTCATTATGCATCCTTCATCTGCATTTCAGTCACTTGCATCTTGTCCTAACTGGGTTATAGTTGAGAAGGTAATGCAAACCTCGCGTGACTTTGCTTTAAATATAACAGCAGTGGCAGATGAAGATGTTGAGGAAGCGTTAACCGAGGGCTCCATGGACTTTGACATTAATGCCGTGGAAAGACGAAAAGTTGCACCAGTTTTGACTGAATATGTAGGTGTCCAAGTTCACAGAGAATTTGTTGGACCTCGATATAGCAAGGTGAGAGCCATGCAAGATAATCTGAAGATGGAGTGCGAAGATTCCATATTTGTGATAGATGCAGATCGTGAGAGGGGAGAAATTTCAATTTATGCGCCAATTGGTGATTCAGATATTTCATCACACACTTTAAAAACTGCGATAGATCCAATCAGAGAAAAAATAAGGAATGAAGCAGTGGAACATCCATTACTTCCAGAGTTTTTCAATGTTAGAATATCCATTGGAGCAGGTGGACAAGTCCAGGATTTGTTATATCAAGATGAGTATAAAAATGTATTTATTTTCGGCGAGGCACAAGTTTTCGATTCTGAAGAAGATATGGTGGAGTGGTTTAGACGTTTTGGATCCATTCAATCATTTATACCCAAATCTTCTAAGAACAGTAATCAGAATTACCTTGGACAGATTATATTTGAAAAACCTGAATTTGCAAAAACTGCAGTAATTGCTACTAGAAAAGGAAAATGTGATTTTGAATTTACTGCAAAACCACCAAAGGGCTTTGGGAAAAGTGAAGAAGACGATTTACTTAGAGCCAAGCTTGTTTGGTGCCGACGGAAGTCTAGAGGTTTTGGATTTGTTGAGATTCATGATCAAGAAAAAATCGACCACATCGTAATGTACAGTGCATTCAATCAATTCTTGGTTGGGGGAAAACGAGTAAGAGTGAAACGAGGAAATAAAAATGGAAGAGATGAGGATGAAGAAACAAATGAACTATTTGTTACGGGTCTTGGAGATCTTGTTAATGAGGATGTCTTGCGTGAAAGTTTTTTGAACACATTTGACATTTCAGAAAATGAAATAGGAAAAGTCATCATTATACGGGAAAAGGTGAACACAACACCTCAAATATTGTATAGTCTGAGAACAAGAATAGAGAGACAATTTAGAGAGTGCACAGGAATTCGGCAGAATAAATTTAATGTCACTCTTATTGAGCCAAAGCCTGGTTCCTTCATATATCAAGCTTTTGTCACATTCAAGGACCCAGAGGAAGGATTTGATGCTTGTACTAAGGTACGGAACAGAATGTTCATTGGGGAGCATGCCGTTTCTGTTACCCCAGAAATACACACTCGGATATTTGTACTATCCCAGGTCTACAAACGAGTACAGAGTGATATTGAAAAGTATCAGGAGAAACTAAAGAATGAGAATACTGACAGAAGATTGACTATTACTCTTCAGAGAAATGAAAACTATGTGATAGATATTGATGCAGATAGCATTGAAAGCATGGTCCGCACAAGAAATAAGGTACAGGAATTGCTTGAGGGTGAAACTGTTGATATGGAAAAGATTCCTGCTCTTCGATATCTGTTTACCCGAGACGGCCAAGAAAAGGTTGAGAAGATTATGAAAAAGACTGGAACGTTAATTTTGCTGGATCATAGAAATTCGTCATTATCCGTGCATGGTCGGGCGGGGGACCGGAGAATAGCTGTAGGAAAGATTAGAAAATATGTCGAGAAATTGTCCTCTTCCAAACTGAGGGTGATCGATCTGAAAGGGGAATCTAAACCACCAGGATTAATGAAAGCAGTTATTCTAATGCATGGTGTAGATCTTAACGGTTTGAAAGTTTCTTCAAATTTGTCAACAGTGGAACTTGATCACAGAAACCACAGAATTAAAATGTTGGGATCAGATGCTGCAGTTGAAAAAGCTGTCCAAAACATTTCTGAGATCATGGATTGTTTGCGTGAAAAAAGCGTTACTGCAGCTTCTGATCAGCCAGAATGTGGAATATGTTTCTGTGAAATTGCTGAAAGTGAAATTTACAGACTGGAGTCCTGTGGCCATCCATACTGTAGGGATTGCATGAAGATGAATATAGAATCTGCTATTCGAAGTAAGGACTTTCCTGTTAAATGTTGTCATAATCAATGCGACATGCTCTGGGCTTGGAAAGATTTTTTGAATATGACGAGATATGGATTCTGCAGTCTTCAAAACATTTTGAATTCATCTGTATCGAATTTTGCCATGGAAAACAAAGACAAAATTCGATACTGCATAACTCCAGATTGCCCTATGGTATACAAAGTCAGCAAAGTTGGAGGGAGAGTTGTATGCAGTGCCTGCAAAACTAGTGTGTGCAGTAAGTGCCACGTTGAATACCATAGTGGTATATCTTGTGCCATGTACCAGATGGAAAATGGAAATGATGAAACAGGACTTCGAGAATGGATGCGACAAGACCCACAAAACAGGAAATTGTGCCCGAACTGTTTTGCTGGAATTGAAAAAAATGGCGGATGTCAGCACATGGAATGCCGAGATTGTAAGAGCCACATCTGCTGGATATGCATGGAGTTTTTCAAGACTAGCCCTGAGTGTTATGGACATATGAATAGAGAGCACAATACTTTTGTTTAAAGTGGAAACAGTTTAAAATATGTTCATTAACAGAATACTTGAACAATTTTGTTTGATATACAGTTGTGTCAGCATTTTTTAACGGGAAAAAATTGTTAAGATTTTTAAGCATCTTGTGGTTGCAAATACGGTTCCTTTAATTGTAAAATTTTGCAAAAAAATTCTTTTCTAGATTTTATTTAAAAAAAAAATGATTTTTGCATCATAGGGAAAAGAATTTACATAACAAGTTACTTGAATATTCAGCTTGTAAAGTTGATTAAAATTGAATTGTCGTTATATATCGATGGTAATAAGAATATTAATTTTTTTTGTAGATTGATATATTTCCAATGTAAATTATATATTTGTCGAATTTCAGCACGCTTTCAGTTAATTGTCATTAAGCATTGCTGTTTGTGTATATAATGTAAGAAATACTTGTATTTGCCTGTGATAAAAATTTATTAATTATTTATTGATTAAATAATTTAAGCTCTTTGTCAATTTATTAATGTAAAATTTTTAATAATCAGATACCTAATGATTTTCAATTCTGTATAATTATTTTGATTTTGTACTGAACGTAATAAATGAGATGGTCAAATAACTATGACAAGAATTAAACATTTTTAAATACTAGTCGTACTAGTACATTATGTTGCTGCGTAAAATGATTTGTTTTGTTAATTGGAATCTACTGTACATTACATGTATGTTGCACAAAAGCAACTGTGAATATTCTTATGGTATTTTTTCCCTAAGCTGGCTTGAATTGTTTATTCATTTGAGGTTAAGGTTCCTACATGCTTTGCTCTTTGTATGCTTCTAAGAATGTTATAAATTAATTTTATTCCTTTGATATATGATTAAAATTTTGGTGAATGACAAGTTTTTTTCTGTATAATTCCTAGAAAAAAATCTGTAGAGGGGAATGTTTCCTAAAATCTAGTTCAGTGCTAGCTGCAAATCTGTTAGCTTGCTGTTCTGAAAAAAAATTAGATTGAACAACCAGAGAGGTATACATGTGTCGTGTCATCTCTTTATACGATTATCCTCAAATTTAACACCTCGCCCTCTTCCGAAATTGTAAAATTGTTATCCATTAGCACATGCTTCAAGTCCACGATTAGGGGAAAGTTAGTCCTAAATATATTTAAAAGTCATTTTTAGGTGACCTATTGCTATCTGTTTTCGTCCGTCGTTGTGCATTGTGCGTTAACATTTGAACATTTTCAGCGTTTTCTCTGCAACCACTGAACCAATTTCAACCAAATTTGGCCTAAAGCATCTATGGGTGAAGGGGAACTAAAGTTGTGAATTTCATGATCCCTGCCCCCCTGGGGCCTGAGGGGCGGGGCCAAAACCACTAAAATTAATGCAATCTTTAAAAATCTTCTTCTTTACTTTCTGGACATCAAGCAGTCAAACTGTTTGCATGATTGTAATCAGCAATGAGTCCTCTACCAAAATTGTGAAATTCATGGCCCTGGGATCAGGGGTTCTAGTGCTAGGGCGGGGCTAAATAAGTAGGTGGTGAAAATGCATTATTTCTGTGAAAATCTTCTTCTCTGCTCCTGGGTATTAAATAAACCAACTATAAGCACATAGTTATGATGAGCAAGAGTGCCTCTACCAAAATTGTGAATAAATGGCCCCAGGGTCAGGGGTTCTGGTGTTAGGGCGGGGCTCTATTGATTATATAGTGAAAATACATGAATTCTTTGAAAATCTTCTTCTCTGCTCCTGGGTATTAAATAAACTAACGAAGTGCATAGTTATGATGAGCAAGAGTGCCTCTACCAAAATTGTGAATTTTATGGCCCCCGGGTCAGGGTTTCTGGTGTTAGGGCGGGGCTCTATTGATTATATAGTGAAAATACATGAATTCTTTGAAGTCTTCTTCTCTGCTCCTGGGTATTAAATAAACCAACTAAGTACATAGTTATGATGAGCAAGAGTGCCTCTACCAAAATTTTGAATTTTATGGCCCCAGGGTCAGGGGTTCTAGTGTTAGGGCGGGGCTCTATAGATTATATAGTGAAAATACATGAATTCTTTGAAAATCTTCTTTTCTGCTCCTGGATATTAAATAAACTAACGAAGTGCATAGTTATGATGAGCAAGAGTGCCTCTGCCAAAATTGTGAATTTTATGGCCCCCGGGTCAGGGTTTCTGGTGTTAGGGCGGGGCTCTATTGATTATATAGTGAAAATACATGAATTCTTTGAAGTCTTCTTCTCTGCTCCAGGGTATTAAATAAACTAAGTGCAAAGTTATGATGAGCAAGAGTGCATCTACCAAAATTGTGAATTTGTTTGGCCCCAGGGTCAGGAGTTCTGGTGTTAGGGCGGGGCTCTATTGATTATATAGTGAAAATACATGAATTCTTTGAAAATCTTCTTTTCTGCTCCTGGATATTAAATAAACTAAGTGCATAGTTATGATGAGCAAGAGTGCTTCTACCAAAATTGTGAATTTTATGGCCCCAGGGTCAGGGGTTCTGGTGTTAGAGCAGGGCTCTATTGATTATATAGTGAAAATACATGAATTCTTTGAAAATCATCTTTTCTTCACCTGGGTATTAAATAAACTAACTAAGTGCATAGTTATGATGAGCAAAAGTGCCTATGCCAAAATAATTAATTTTATGGCCCCAGGGTCAGGGGTTCTGGTGTTAGGGTGGGACGTATTGATTATATAGTGAAATTATTAATAAATTATTAAAACAATGAAATAGAATTTGATATGTAAAATATGATATAAACCATAAAATTTTTAAAAAATATATCTTTTAGAATTGAGAAATGTCTTTTTTCAGAGCGGGGGATTGCCCTCGCCTTGTACACCTCCATTCTTTAAATTGTCATTTTCATAATTCAGACAGTTTGACTGTTGTTATTCCTGTGACATATTAAAAAGAATACCAAAGATTATACATACATTTTGATTGTTTTTAAAGCCTTTCAGACTCGAGGAGACGATCCTTGAAATATACAGACTGAATGTTTGTTCTCCTCAGCTCATAGAGACGATACTGTACTTGACAAAATTAGATACAAGAAAAGGGTTATTTGACTAACCAGCGGATTTAAAAATGCTACAGATTCAAAATAAGTTAAAAGAAAAAAATTAAAGAAAGGCTGAAGTCCTAACGTTATACTGTATATTTCTCTTTATTTCAACTTCAAGGCAATTAAATAGAAAAGCACATTTTCCTGAGAGATTGGGGAAAAAAAACTCTTCAAAAGTCGTTCTATATAGATGGTTTTCGAAAAGGAAAATTTTAACGCATCTGATTTGATTTTTTTTTTCAAAAAATAAGGAGTTTAATAGTATTTTAAAAATAAAAAAAAATCTACAATTACCAAATCAATGCTCTTCCTGTGCAGAAAGTAGACTAAAATACCAATTTAGGTTTGGTATTGAATTTGCGATATATAAGATAAATAATCTGAGTCGTGCAGTTATTTTATCACAGTGTTTTACGTCCCATTTGGCGCATGTATTAATTTGATTTGACACAAACGAAAAGTTTCAATTTCAAACAAAAAAATCAACACAATTTGAGGTTTCTTCCTTATTGTAAATGGCAACAAATTAAACAAGGGGTGTTAACCACTCTTAAACACCTAGTAAAAATGTTTTTAAGTGTATTTTGTCTCTATGTTATTTTTTTTTAGAAATAGACCAACTGTATCAATCACGTCAATAGAGTTGCTCAAAGTAAACCTATAATTGATGAATAAAACTGCATTCACAATAATTGTTAACTCTCCAAATTTCTTATTCCGATTAAAGCATTGTCGGAGATCATTTGTCAATGAAATTTATCCATGCTTTGATATACTAGTATATATATATTTGATAATCAAAAAGAATCGCTTCCTGGAAATTTTAAAGTTTAAATCTGAAATGCATTTTTATGCACTAGTCTTTAATATGCACATTTTATTTTGTAAATGGAATGAAGAAAGTGACGTTTTCATTCAATCAGCAAATTCAAACACGTAGAGCTTTCAAATTGGTTAAAACAATGATGAATATTGCAAATATCATAAATATTAATTCCATATGTGCTGTGTTTCAGGCTTCTGTAGATTATGTAAATACTAGTGAAAATCTGACATAATCGAAATGTTTCGTCCGCATAGACTAAATTGACCCTTTGATAGGCCGTAATACCTCTAGATCACGAATTAAATATGCTAATCATTACAAATTAAGTTTCTTAAAGGTTTAATGCTACGAACGATATATATTAGTGAGAGAAAACATGATTTTATTTATCAGATTGTTAAGTTTAATATTTTTGACAGACCCTGTCTACTGTATAAAACTGCAATATACAAATGATTGAAAATTGGTGAATTTTATGTTCATGTTAACAAAAAAAGTGAAGATAAAGAAATATAAATATGTGATCTTTTTTGCGTAAAAAATTGATATATAAAACTTACCGAAAAGTTTAAAAGAAATAAAATATAAACACGAAATGTACCATAATGACATTTAAGTAATATATGGATAATTTAGCAATTCTAAACGCTTAGTCAACACTTCAATATCACAAAAGCAAAATATTCAGCTGATAATCATATGAAACAACTTTCTAATTAATAAATAATCAGCTGATGATCATATGAAATAATTTCATTTTTTTCGAAGTCGTCTGATTTAAATTCTTAGAGAACGATGCTATATGACTTATTAACTGCAAATCTAGCAAATAAATTACAATGACTGAATTTGAATTACTTCTAGGTGATATAAATCATATTTTGAGACACATATATTTCTTGTTTATTTCCTTGATAATCAAAGTTGATGCTATACATTTCAAATCAAAATATTTCATGATAATTTCGAACAGCTAAACTAGGATAAAGACAAAATACAATACAGATTTTTATCCCTTCAATATCTCTTCAATTGATAGGTTTATAGCTATTAATTTATATAATTCTTTGCATATTTCATAACTTATTCAGTTTTGTTATGCATTTCCTTATTAATAAACAATCATTATTTTGACAGAAAACATGCATTCGGTTCCAAAAAAATTTTGCATATGTGCATTTCCCCCTAAATTAACGAATTAAAATGATTTGGAAAAAAAATTTCTGTTTTCTGTACTGCTTTATTCAAAAATATGTTAGTAGGTCAACGAATTGAGTTTGATTTTTCAAAAAATGGCTTATTTGCCGCCACCGCCTTTCTAGAACTTGCTAAAAAGGCATGTTATGAAAAGAACAAAACCGCAGACTTGTATCTTTGTAATTAATAAGACTGAAGAACTGTCGTTCTGAAATTTAAAATCTTATCATAAAAAAAAATACACCAAATTTGAAGGACGTTTACATTTTCTTCATTAAATTTATAGTCAATAAATTATTTAAAACAATCTAATGGTCAGATCCAGCTTGGTTTTCAACAGTTTTCAGAAAAACAGTAGTCAGCAAGTGATGTCAGTAGTCAACGAGGCCAGGCATTGAATCAAAGTCAAAACTAAATGAGCATATTGCACACTTATACAAATGGTAGATCGACCCCTGGGTATGTCGCTGATGGTCGAAAAATTCCTTTGTCAAAAGAACAAAAACAAAGTTTTAACAATTGGTATGGAACGAGCAAGCCAAAATACGACCAAATGATAGGTTCTGTTGGCAAATAAGATCATTACATCTATAACGACCATAGAATTTACAAAATATACTGGGTTGTTGAAATTTCTGTAACGTCAACATATCTGTGAATATCCTGTCTCGGTTAAAAATCGACCATACTGAGGGCATAATTTTACGTAGCAAATAGGTTGGAGACACGCACATACACATACACCATAAGTAGGTGATATAACTACAGTAACATATACATAATAAAAAGAAAAG